ACACAGAACACCATTTTATCACATTTGACAGTAAAATTGTTCAAGTTCAATTCAAGTGCTGCAGTTAACATACGTTTCTTGTGTGTTCTGAAAACACTCATCCGGAAACACTAAAACACAAACACCAAAAAGCGGTTACTACGTCTTAATGTGAATCGTTCATTATATCGTGTACATGTATCATAGCATATACATTAAGCAACAAAATAGAAATGTTACATTCTCTACAAAAATGAAGTGAACAATTTGAAAACAGTTCTCTCCCACTGTTCGGCGATAAAATTTTGGTGTTCTTTGAGTTCCCATATTCCCACTGTGAGCATTAGATACATAGAGCCACGGCTCTGGCCACCTTTACTAATGAGCGACGAAAGAGTGGGACCGCACTCAAGAGAGTTTGAGTAAGTCAATTTTCTACACATTAGAAGTTTGAAGATACTATAAGACCAATAAAGGGAGGAAATGTTCACTTTATTGTTTACAAAATAAGATTAAGATATCATAACACATAAAAACTGTGGGTTTTAGGGACAATGATGAGGGGTTTTTTCCATGAAAAATGAAAAGATGTGGTTTCGAAGATACGAGGTGGAGTTGAAAAGGCCACAAAGTGTAAGGAGTAAGTGCTTTTCCGTCCTATAACTATTTCTTTCGAAGCAGTTGATGTTTCGAATTTCGAAAGGCCTGCATCGTTGGAAGTAATAGTTATTATGATTAAGATCTAAACTATAGAAGCATGTATGTCAAATAGCTTTAAATAGGAGAAACAAGAGAATATAGAGAATAACTCGTTATGGTAGAACTTTTGAAAGTTGCGCAGTTGTCAGCTGGATTTTCCATACGATTCGGAGCTTAATGGTATATGGATGTTCGGGGTTTCGTTTAGTGGGAGCGAACTAACCGATCAGCCAAGTGCCCCGTCGGATCTGGTCGTTCTCCACCTCTCAAACTAGCACACTCTCTACGCAACCAAGCGTCATCCAAGGTTCATTTGGTTCTGGTGCCCTTTTCTCTATTATTTGCAAATTAATGTAAGCAAATCGTATATCGTTATGAGGGTCTTGAAACGTACAC